AGTGAGTATCTATGACCAGTAAGTATCTATGATCAGTTACTATCTATAACCAGTAAGTATGTATGATCACTTATAAACATTGAAAACTAATAAACAATGACTTGCAACAACACAACACATTTCTGAGACTTGGCCGGCAGCAGTCACTTCGTTCCGGGGATGTTAGAACCAGTTGGGAATCATATGTACAGATGTGCGAGATTTGTTTTTGGATCAGTGATTAACTATGGCCAGTAAGTAACTATGTACAGCAATTAAGTATGAGCACTAAGTAACTATGAGCACTAAGTAACTATGAGCAATAAGTAACTCTGAACAGTGAGTATCTATGACTAGTAAGTATCTATGATCAATTACTATCTATAACCAGTAAGTATGTATGATCACTTATAAACATTGAAAACTAATAACAATGACTTGCAACTTTTGTAACACAACACATTTCTGAGACTTGGCCGGCAGCAGTCACTTCGTTCCGGGGATGTTAGAACCAGTTGGGAATTATATGTACAGATGTGCGAGATTTGTTTTTGGATCAGTGATTAACTATGGCCAGTAAGTAACTATGTACAGCAATTAAGTATGAGCACTAAGTAACTATGAGCACTAAGTAACTATGAGCAATAAGTAACTCTGAACAGTGAGTATCTATGACCAGTTAGTATCTATGATCAGTTACTATCTATAACCAGTAAGTTTGTATGATCACTTATAAACATTGAAAACTAATAAACAATGACTTGCAACTTTTGTAACACAACACATTTCTGAGACATGGCCGGCAGCAGTCACTTCGTTCCGGGGATGTTAGAACCAGTTGAGAATCATATGCACATATGCGCGAGATGTGTTTTTTGATCAGTGAGTAACTATGGCCAATAAGTAACTATGATCAGCAATTAAGTATGAGCACTAAGTAACTATGAGCAATGAATAACTCTGAACAGTGAGTAGCTATGACCAGTAAGTAACTATGATCAGTAAGTATCAATATCCAGTAATTATGTATAATCAGTTACTAACATTGAAAACTAATAAACAATGACTTGCAACTTTTGTAACACAACACATTTCTGAGACTTGGCCGGCAGCAGTCACTTCGTTCCGGGGATGTTAGAACCAGTTGGGAATCATATGCACAGATGTGCGAGATATGTTTTTTAACAAATTTAAGAAACTATGGAGTTATTCTTGAATATAATTTTACTAGTATATAAGTCAGAGCATGGCGAATCGGTGGTCTATATATATACGTATATATAGCTGCCATAGGAACAATCAGACAATTTTAAAAAATAAATATATAACTTTTCCAGTTTTCAACAGAATTTCATAAAATTTAATATATATCCGTAAGATATTAATCTATAATTTTCTATACAATTTTATGAAAATCGGACTACTATATCATATAGCTACTTCTTGTTTATTATAAAGCATAAAGAAAGGAAAGTTTTCCCTAACTTTTGGTCATATATTCTCAATAATCATTATCGTAGACCATTATTTAGGTAAGTTCAAACTCGTAACTCCCTTTATAATTTACTTATTCCTAGACTATATAACTAGAATAACCAGAATATCGAAACATCTAGTTCAAAATGCAACGAATTAAAGCGCCCTTAAGCCTTAACATGATTTTGAAATTACCTTCGATAAGTGAAAAAACCAAGAGGAATGCGATGCCTGTACTGGAGCAATAGATTGTTCTACACGATGGGGCACTTAGCCTTTATCGGTGGGATATGATACCCATCAAAATTAATGACAAAATGATAGCCCTGGATGGGCCAGTAGATCCGGGGAGAGGTGCCAAGTGGGTAACCTCGCGGTCTGGAGGTGTATCGAAGCGGGGCATGACTAATTCCGGAGTCAGGACTCTGGACAGCGCCAGTGTGGGCAGCACACAGGCAGAGCTAATGAGCCGAGCCGTTCAACTTGTTTTCCTTCTGATGGGGGAAGAGGGAGTCAGAGGAAATTGCAACAAAGTTGTTCGCTGTTATAGCGCGAAAAAAATACAAAATAAAAAGAAAACCCAAACCCAAACCCGATCTTGGTTCCGGTTTAAAGAGCCAGAGAATCAGAGACCGGGTTGGGCAATAGAGATTACGAGTAAGTTTACACGTTTTCAGACATTGGGGCCACAACCTAACACATCCACAATGGCTACCGGAGGAGCACTAGAGGATCTCCCGGAGAGGAGAGGAGAGGAGAGGAGCGAGCTGTATCAATGCCAAAGTAATTGACGAACTGCCAGCCGGAGTTGACAGACGCTGGTCGTATTGTCTGCACTTATGCTAAACGATCAACGTAATGTGCGATCCATGTCTGGCTGCCATTACCGGTGCATAATATGCATAAAGTAGTCACCCGGGCGAGTGGAAAATGCAACTGTGAAAAGGTTTCATGCCTGCTTAGCACCTTGATGGATGGTCATTTTGGATTGAAACCGACAGGTTCTGCTTGTAATTGTCCCGACCTCTCGGATTATGATGCATTTGTATGCCGCCTCGTGTGCCGAGATGCAATTAGGGGAACGTGGTCAGCCGAGCGTTGTCTATATATCCTCCGCGAAACTTCCCCAACCCAAGACATGATCTAGCCACTAATGAGTCTGGAATAAGGGGCCCTTAAAATATACCAATTCTAAGTTCTTGGGAATAATGCCACTACTAAATGCCTATCAGACGGAACCTTATAGTCAACTCAATAAAAGAAATTATTCATAGGGGTATAGTTTTCCTATCGTATTTGTATGCAAATGTGCATGTAAAAAAATCAATTGCATGTCACTTGGGGATTGTATTTATTCCATTAAAAAATATAGCTATTTAATGATTATTTTGATTGAAACAAAACCAGTTAGGGAAACTATGAGTGTTTTATAGAACTATTTTGAATTGAATTTAAATGGCAAAATTCCCCTTGAAAATGTTTAATCAAGACTTTATGAGATAACTCTTTAATAACCTTTAGAAAAGTAAATAAAAGGTCTCAAACTCTGCTACAATTCTTACTAATTCCTGGTCTAAATCAACAAATATCAAATGTATGTGGTTCACACTCCAATTGTTATTTTCCCACACATAAATTAAGCTTAACTTTAAGATCGGGCGATCAAATTGCTTGGGAAATGGTAGGAGGCGCTTTTGCCTTCAGGTGTCAACTGTTGACAGCTTGGTGGATCTATGTTAATTGATTATTTCATGCCCCGTCACCGATGCCACTTTTGCCGCTCCTTTCGAGCAGCATTTTGTGACATGTGCCCCGGCTTGTGGATACCTTCACTTGGTTCAGTCTTTTTCCCTCTGTGATTTCTGAGGTATATTGATTCGTTTTCAAAACACGTATTCAGTAATTTGTTAATAAGAAAACAACAACAGTCTTCAGGAGCAATCAACATTAACTTGTCAGAACATGTGTTTTTTTTAATGAACATAAATTCAATTTCAATTTTGACATAATTATACTAAAGATATGTTAACAATTTGCTAAATAGCCTTTAGTATTATTTCATTTGTGAAAGCAAGACTCTAGAATATCTATTTAAAGTAATTTTATTACTTTGTGACAGTCTGCTTAGCCACAAGACATTGTATATTCATTGGAGTTTAATTTAGATTATATAGAAAATATATATCAGACTGCTTGGGTTCATTCTATTCAATTGTATATATTTTCTTTGCTTGCATAAAAGAAATGAGTTATAGTCAAGAAACAAAAAAGATACTTTCGAATACACAAGATTAAACAAAGTATCCCAAGGGCTCTGCCTAAATGAGGATATATAAAAGCATATTAATCTAAGCAGTGGGTATTTCCATGTCGAATCAGCATTCAGTGCTATTCCCGCCGGCTTCTTTTGTTATTTACTAGTCTGGTCTCCGGGAACAGCACAACACACAACTTGATTAGGCCTTCTGTCGGAGGCGTCTCTTCATCTCTTCATCTCTGTACCCTGCTCCCTGCTCCCTGTTCCTTGTTGTTCCCTGTTGCTCCTCCCCTGATCCCTGCCCCCCAGTTGCTCATGGTACGTGCCGAGACGGCGCGTCGTTGGTGGATCTGTCCTCGTTGCTCCCAGCGTCGGCACATGCGGCCTATAATTAGGTGGCAATCATTTAGAGGCGCGAGACGCACGGCCACTCCTTGCCAGAGACTCCTCTATGCGGACGGGGCCAGGCCAGGATGGAAAAAAAATCCGAAAACAATTGCGAAAAAAAGGGGGCAATTTTCTTTGGGCTTTTCATTTTCAATTTTCCCTGTGCACTTTGCTAAATGAGCCATAAATATTACTAGATATTTGCCAAGATCGCAGATAAAGCGAGTTACACGATTCATCATACAATCTTCCTTTTGGCAAAGTAATACCGCGACTAAGACATGACAGAAACAACAAAGAACACGAAAATAATTGTACTAAATGCCCCGGCAAAAGATCACACATAGGCCATTTGACGAATGTAAACGATGGGCAAACGAATCAAATGTATTTTAATAGTAGCTAATCCGTTAGCTAATTGCAAGCAAATTCAAATTATCATACTTGATTTTAAAAGACTTGTAAGTCATTGTAAGACCTTGATTTCCATGTAATTTTAAATGCTACTTAAATAAACAGGTAAATCGAACTATATATTTATAAGTTCATCAGACACACTTTCCCTAACTAAATGAATTCCATTCGGTGTAAATGAAATGATTAAGTGATCATGTTCTGATGGATTTCTTTTTAATAGCTTTGAATTATATGAATAATTAAATGTATAAAGTGGAATATGGGATATATTTTGCACTCTTTGCAAGTAAACGTGTAACAGGAATTCATAACTAATTAAAATAATTGAATAATAATTAAAATTCATTTTAATGAATGAGTGTGTTCTATTTTTCCCTCAAATATTTTCTGAATAATCCCAGTTTCTACGAAATATTCTTTCAAATTGTTTAAAATATATAATAATTATATTATCAAAAAATATTCAAGCATATTTGGCACTCACCCAAGGGCACATTGGCGCCATTTTTGCGATTGACGGAAACTGAGATCGGCAAAATGGCGGCACCGGAAGTAGACGATGGCGAGGGCGAAGATGAGTCGCAGGAGCCCTCCAACGACTGGGCAGGCGTTGGCACCGTGCTCATGTGATGCTCGGCGCTGGTAATAACCGAGGTACCATTACTACCGACCCGGCCGCCACCGGCTCCTCCTCCTGGTCCTACTGATCCCGGTCCTGATCCTAAGCTAGCTCCACCGCCGGCACCGTTATTACTGCTACTAGAACCGCTACTAGAAGTAGCCGCTGCTGTGGCACTATTTGAGTTGGCCGCTGCTCCGCCTCCGCCGGAACTGCTGGTAGCCGGACCCACACTGCCACCATGCTCGCTATGCGGCGGAGATCGCAGCGCGGTCTGCTGATGCGCCGGCTGCTGGGGATGCTGGAGATGCTGCTGCTGCTGCTGCTGCTGGAGGTGATGGTGCGAGTGTGCGTGCGAGTGCGAATGTGGGTGACTCTGGTGCTGTTGCAGGTGCTGTTGCTGGGCCACCGAGGCGGCTGCGGCAGCGGCCATGTGCACGTGGTGAGCGTGGGCGTGACCATGCAGGCTGGAGGCCGCTGTGGCTCCGGTCAGATGCGATGGCGGAGCTGCCGGAGCAGCACCCGCCGCTGCTGCTGCTGCTGCCGCTGCCGCCGCCTGCTGATGATGGAGCGATACATGGCCATGGTGCGCATGGTGTCCGTGGGCATGGTGTGCGGCATGTACATGGTGGGCATGGGCGTGGACATGGGCGGGAGCAGCAGCAGCAGCGGCAGCGGCGGCAACATGGTGATGATGTCCCAATAGTGTGGTGGTGGCCGTTGCCGCCGGCGGCACCTCGTGCATGTGCAGCGCCCTCTGTTCGTCCTGGGCCTGGGCTCGCCTCAAAGCCGTCTGCAGGGCCATCACACGCTGCCGGTCCGCGGTCAAGCGGCACTTCTCGCAGGTGCAATAGCGGTACTTGCAGTACCGCTTGTGACCCTTCAGGGTGATCTTTAACCCATGGTTACGGCAGCGGGCACAGTTGGGCGGCGTCCTGGGTGAGATGGAGCTGCCGCTGGAGCTCGAGGCACCGCCGCACACATCGTTCTTTGAGTCGATCATGTCCGAGTCGGACATGGTGTCGCTGTTCCAGTTCTCCTCCGAAACCATGTCTGCAGATTCTGATGTCCTTTTCAGAGGTTAGGTTAGCGAGTGTCCAAGTATCTTAATTATGCCTTTAGGCCAACTTCAAATGCATTTTCTGCAAGGTAAGCATTAGCTTCTAAAGAAGATGTCCTGGTATTTCCAATATGTTTCTTATATAGTTTTATTATTTGAGAAGTTGAGGAGGTAAAGTCTAAGCCTTGATTTTGATTATTGATAGCATTAAGTAGATTGGAGTTTATTTATACTTGTCTATAGATTATTGAGGATTATTTTAGTTATAGAATCCTTTGTTTCACTTTTCACTACGAGGTCCTAAGCACCTGAAAAGATAAGATAACAAGTTTCGGTTCTAATTACTTCACTTAGCTTTCACTTTGCAAATAAATAGTACATTTATATTATTTGGTAAACAAAATTTCCTGCATTTTATATATTTTTCTTTTCCCTTCAAACAACTGCTGATGCAATTCCCAGATATAACTCAAGCTGCGAGCGAAAAATATTTATTATCGTTCGGGAAGATTTGTATTTCCTTTATTTTTTTGCATGCTCGGCTGGCGGTAGCCAACAAATTACATTTGTATTTATAACGCCAGCGAAAATATCTGCCATATTTTTGCAAAAACATCTCACTCCGAAAAAAGTAATTGTGGAAAAAATGTGGGCAGGCGGCGAACTTCGCCTCCATTGGCGGTGGATCATTTATTGCATGTTAAAGGGTAATTCGAATAACGAAAATTATTTTGATTCGATCGACCACGCCTTTCTTTTACATAAAAGCACTTATTCCAGATTGGCTTTGGATATTAGTAACAACCCGAAGGCGGAGCCGGACATGTAGATACAATGTATCGATCGGATCTGTCACGGTAACATATTAATACTATATATCTATATAATACTGTCATCGAAATGGTTCCAACGGATGCGCAACTATCTGAGTTGACCTTTTTGAACTCGACAATCCATAAATTTCCGAAAGGCCTTTTGCTCTCGCGAATTGTGAGGAGAATTCACGAGAGACATTTACGTGTTACGGTTAATTAGGAGTCGTAAAATAGTATTTCAAAAATGCACACTTGGTATGAATTATATTCAAAGCAATCAGTTAAATGTATTTACTATTACTATTTACTATATTTCAAGTCATTAAATATTTTCCCTGCCTGTTCTGTATGAATTGTAAATTGTTTTCTATTCTAAAAAATTTGATATTTAATACAATTCAATACAAGGAATATGGAGAACAGACTTTTTACTTTCAATCCATGGATAGATTGTTATTTTATATACAAGAAAGATACAATCTTCAATAATACAATACAATGAGATGGATACAAATAAATAATAAATGAATATTAAAATAAGATCAAAAAATTATATGGAATTAAGAATCACAAATATTTAATATAAATTACCATTAAATTAAGTTCAAATAACGATTTAAACCCCAATTACTACCAATTTCTTTTCCCAATTACCTTTTTATTATAAAAGTTGAACGGCTTTTTATTTTGTATTTTAAATAATTCTGATAGCCTTTAAAAATGTGTTTTATATTTTTTGTATTTGCAATGATCCACTATTTAATGTTAATTTTTTTATATTATTAAAGGGTTTGTAGTAGTTGCTGGCTGATTAGAAATATGGCGCAGTTGCCGGATTAACTTTCAGAAATATAGGAGAATAAATCTTCGGATTTTGATTAGCTGCGAAGATTTTCACACACACACACACGTGCACTTGTAGGCCACAATTTCAACTATATATACAGTTACTCTGGGCTGTATCTATTCAGATATCGATCAAGTATCGTCAACACAATAAACAAAAAAATTCACATTGGCAACTTTTTTACGCGATCGCGCCTTGTGGCTTTCGAAAAGCCGCCGGGGAAACGAGCCAAATGAAACCGATTTAGCAAAAGTTAATTTCGCAGCGCGAATAATCAATATTTATAGGGTCGTTCTGATGGTAAATTTTTATCTGTAGCTGAATCTGGATCTGGGTATCCGTAGAATGGAACTATCCGCGAGCCGCGAGCCGAGCTTTCTGCCGCTTTTAGCTGCTTTGGCTGCTGCTGTCCGATCTGAAATCTTTGGCATGCACAAGGCAACTCACATTGGGCCGCAAGACGCGGATGCAAAGAACTCAAAAACGCCGAGTCGTTCGGTTGGGTGTCTGTGTGTGTGTGCGTGTGCGAGAGCGCCTGTATGAGTGCCAGCCTCGGCTGTTGTGTGTGTGTATGTGCGTTGTAAGTGTGTGTGCATGAAAACGGGCACCGCCAACGAAACGGAACCGAAAATCGCATCGAGAGAGAGAGCCAGAGCAAAGCCAACCAAGCACAGCACAGTGGACCGAAAATCCTTTAAATTGAAATCCTACTACTCGAAAAAATCCTTTGAATTGGGGTAGTTTTTGTAAGATGTTGGTCTATTTATAAGATTTTCGCTATATGCCATTAATAGTTCAGGCAAAAATAATATTTTAAAACGAGAAATAAAATAGTTTATTTAATAGCTGTATTTAAATTATATTAGCAGTACTTTCAGCATATCAATGCATCACAAAATAAAATAAAATAATATACATATTATTTAAGTATAATAATAATTTTTTCAATGTAATAAATATTAAAATTATAAATATGAATGAAATATTATTTATCTTCAAATAATTATGTATTGTATTACTTTTTAATCATTTAAAAATGTTCTCTAATTCAGGCGCTTTGTAAAATAATAATATGCCTCAAAATGTATGCAATGGTTCTTGAAGTCGGTTGAAAGACAAGTCAAATTGATATTTTCAATTTTAAATTGTAGAGGTTCTGTAAACTACAGATTAAGTTAAATAATAAAATTAAATAAATTAAATGTTCAATCTTTAAATTTTAAGTCAGCATTTAATTGAATCTTACCTTTAAAAAAAAATATTGAAAAAAGACACCTAGAATAATAAAACGACTGGATAAACCACTTGGGTCTTTGGGGACCACTGTGCGACGTCGACGTTGCGTGCATTTGGAGAAATGTGGGGGCTGCACACTCACACACACACACACATTGCCGCTCGCACATGCAGCACACACTCACTCGCGGAAATGCGCAAATACAAACAGACAGCGGGCCCTTGTACATAGACAGCCTCACACACATTGGCTGGCTGTGTCGCTTTTGTTGTTACTGTTGGTGTTGTTGCTGTTGCCGCTTTCGCTGCAGTGCCTTTGGCCGGTTGCAATCGCCTTGCAACTTGTTCGAGTTGCAGTTTGACCGCGTTGCATTGCGTTCGGCTTAGTTTTGCCTTCCTCCACTTTGTTTAATTCCTATTTTCAGCATTTCACTTTGTGCTGCGAATTTTATTGCATTTGTTTTGGTTATTTCTTCGTGTTGACAGGGCGTATGAGTGGTGGGCACTATCGGTGATAACACTGGGACAAGAGTGGCGAAGGGGTTTTTAGGTATTTTTTTTATATAGGTCAATCATTTTCTCAATATTGGTAAGTATAAATCTTAAAAATAAGGATTTATTATATCCAAATACCTTCTAACTATTACTTTTATGTATCATAGTTGTTTTAAGATACTGGAAAAGTTGAAAAAAATTTTTTATCTTAAATTTAATTAAAATTCACTTTAAATTGTTGATGTTTCTTTAAGTAAAGTATCTTTTCAAAGTCAAGAATAGATTATTAATTAGACGGGACGTTTAATTTTACTTATTTCTTTTAAATTAGTATTAGAATAAATACGGCTGTTTATGTGTCCCATGGGGCGTATGAGTAATTTTTTGAAATATATTTCTTACTTTTCAATCAAAGACTACATTTTATTTAGTTCTAAACTAAAGACAAGTTTACCTTTGGACATCGATCTATTAATACATATGCTTTCTGGCATAGTAATTAACTAATTAATTTTTATAAATTTATATGAATTAAATCAGCGTTAAATTAGGTCTAGGCGCGTGTTAGCAAAAATTTGCATTTACAATATATCGCTTAATCAATCAACAATGCACGTATTAAAAGTTATTACAACAAATATCAATTCAAATATCTTATACAAGATAAATCGATCATATTTATATTATACAGCTGTTCTATGGAATTAGAGACTATTAAAGGAGCAACTCCCAGGCCCTTGAGCAATAACTGCTGCTAGTCAAATGAAATTTGAATAACTAATAGAAAATGATCATTTAATAAAACAAATGGTCCCACATACTTTCAAGAATAAAGTTCTTATCTTAATAGGTTGGAAAATACAAGTAAATGGGTATTCATTCGTTTAAATTGTGTTATCTAAGTATAAGCTTCCTGAATATAAGACAAACAAATATTTCAAAAGTCATTCAATGTTTTTTGTGATTAAACATTGAATGTTATAATTTGAAAAGATAATACATATAATCATCCCCTATGTTGGTTTGAAGTTATATTTAACTAAATGTTAATCTAATTAACTCAAAAACCTTGCACAGACTTTGCGACCCATTTACCTATACAATAAGAACTAACGATGCTTGACTACTGATTAAAACGTACCTGTATTCTAAATTAAAGATAGAGAGAAAAAGTGACAACAAGGAGCAGCTAACCAATGATTAAGTATATATTTTAGCTGATTAACTGAACGATATGAAGTGTTAGTTTGCCTCATTCCTGATCGCCGGTAATTACTTAATTTGGGTGTCTAAAGAGTTAATTTACCATTTTAGCCAGCGAGGGGTAATTGACCATGAATGATATGTGGTGTTGATAACGGGTCTCGTAGTTCGCAATTCGTGCTGCTACCAGATGCCCGCCCCCTTTCTTCTTCCAGCCCCCTCCCGATGGCCACGGGAAAATGTTGTTTCTCCCGGCAGTTGTATTTAAAACATAAAGAAAAACAAGAAAGGAAGCTAACTTCGGCACGCCGAAGTTTATATACCCTTGCAGATAGAAATTCTATGAATAGGAATCCATACAATATAAATTATATATATTTGTGTTAAAAAACAATGAAGTAATACCTGCTTTCATTTCATTCACCTATGTATACATATTATATTTGCAGTTTTACATTCACAGATTTGCATTTTTCCTCTACATCAAACGATCGTTTGTATGGCACCTATATGATATAGTCGTCCGATTTTTATGAAATTTGCCACAAAATTTAAGACTTATATAAAATGGCTATACCTCAAATTTGATGAAAATCAGCTGAAAACTAAAAAAGTTATAAATTTAATTGTATTAATTTCTCGATCGTTCCTATGGGAGCTATATGATATAGTAATCCGATTTTCATAAAATTTTACACAAAATTTTAGAATAATATGAAATGGCTATATGTCAAATTTGATTAAATTCTGTTGAAAACTAAAAATGTTATCGCCACCGCGATTGTCAGTCTTCCGACAACAGCCACCGCCATTCTCATTCCTCTCAAATTTCTCGATCGTTCCTATGGGAGCTATATGATATATTAGTCCGATTTTCATAAAATTTTACACAAAATTGTAGAATAATATGAAACGGCTATATCTCAAATTTGATGAAAATCTGTTGAAAACTGAAAATGTTATACTTATTAATTGAATTAATTTATCGATCGTTCCTATGGGAGCTATATGATATAGCCGTCCGATTTTCATAAAATTGTACACAAAATTGTAGAATAATATGAAATGGCTATATCTCAAATTTGATCAAATTCTGTTGAAAACTAAAAATTTTATAATTTTTTTTGTAAAACTTTTCCGATCATTCCTATGACAGCTATATGATATAGTCGTCCGATCCGGCCCGTTCCGACATATATACGAGTGAGAGTATATAGAAGACTAACTGCAAAGTTTCATTCAGATAGCTTCAAAACTGAGAGACTAGTTTGCGTAGAAACGGACAGACGGACAGACGGACAGACGGACAGACGGACAGACGGACAGACGGACAGACGGACAGACGGACATGGCTAGATCGACTCGGCTGTTGATCCTGATCAAGAATATATATACTTTATATAGTCGGAGGTGCCTCCTTCACTGCGTTGCAAACTTCTGACTGAAATTATAATACCCTGCAAGGGTATAAATATATATATAAAGAAAAACTGCACACGATCGCTTATCTTGCATGTCGCGACTAATTTGTATTTGCGGAGAGACCCCAAGAGAGAGAGAGAGCGAATCGCACCAAAGAGCCGAAGAGAAAGACAGAGGGCCTATCAGTGGAATGGCATTCCTAGATTTGCTAATTAAGCACATGCAAAAAAAAATAAAGGTCATTATGTTTTACATACATAAATATACATTATTCTCTCCTCGACAACGGCATTTCCTAGTCTCGAAGGTTACCACTTTGTTTACACTAGTTTTACCTTATGTTTCCAAATCAAATACAGTAAGCAACGATTTTATTTCAAGTGTAAATTCAAAGGAGACCAGAAAACTGTATCAAGGAAAGCTGCTTTTTATTGCTCAACGTCTTCAAAGTTAAATGGGATTACTCGCTCCTTGGGGGCATGTCTGCTTAATTAATTAATTTGTCTAAACCGGAAGGGATCACGATAAGAACCCCACTTCGGGTTATTAATGGGCCAAGGGTAACTCCGCATATTAAATACCAAAAGCATGGTCATGTCATTAAAATAATAATTGCATAAAATAAGTGAAGACCGTAAAAATTGATTGGTAAAGATGAGAAAAAATATATACATATAATCGTGATCGATCGATTTATCTTAGTCGTCGCTAAAACCGGCTTGGGCAGAACATTGAATGGAATATGGTGTCTTATAGCCTTGGCTGCGTAGCTTTAAATAACTTGATTTACCATTTCTATTTGCATTTCCCTGCCATAGTGGACTTATGATCACCGATCACCGCCTCCGCGATCCTGACTGCCCGGAACACGACTCCGTTTTCTGGTTACCTGTTCAATTTGGTAGTCAGACAATGGCCCGAACCCCTCTCCCTCCTTAGGTCTATAAAAGTCACCACTAGCTGCAGTTCGCTCAGCAGTTGTAGATGGCAATCGCGGAGCGTACCTGCCGCTATCGCCATTAAGCCGTGTATACACGAGCATTTATGTCAGGCAATTACAAGGCAGTTTGCAACGCCCCCAAAAGCGGGACATTGGGGTGTTCCACGCGGTGGCAGAGCAGAGCAGAGCAGAGCAGTCATAACTCATTGTTTACTTACCGGGGGGACAATGGGACAGGCAGACAGGCAGTGGCAAAAGTATCTGCATCTTTGTACATATCTCTGGACGTATCTGCATCTGCATCAGCATTTGTATCTTTCTTTTTTTTTGCAATTGCAATTGCAAACTTCTGTCGTGGTGTTCTACACTCTGGGTTATGCAAGCGAGCGCGAGAGCGAACAGTTCGGATCGAGAGTGAGAGTGAGCGGTGAGAGAGATAGAGTGGAGGAGCCGGTAAAAATATTATTTGTTATCTGGAAACACAAACAAATTGACTTGGATTCGCGCACATACTAAAGATATTTTCAGACTTTGCACAGCCCAGAAACAGAAACAGAATTTTCAAATTTGCAGTTCACAATTTGCAGTTCGCAGTTCGCCACACTTCGCATTTGATTCGATGTCGCTCCAGTTCTGTTTTGGGTTAAGATTGCGGCTACGAGCACCTACCGCGGGAACGCGCACGAGCGCAAAGGACGATCGTTGCCAGCAAACTGGTTGCGGAGCCACCAAAAAGCTCTGAGCACGATACCGGCCACACTGAGGCAGGCACCCGGACCAGTACCAGTCCGACTAGTGACTATCGAACCGCCCGGCAGACGCTGGGACTTGTGGACACGCGGGCGGATGAACGAACAGCCGGACGTACGGACCAGCGAGGGGGGGTATGATGCGGAGCATGTGGTGCTGGCACAGAGACTGACCCCACCGATGCCTTCGGTATTTGCACACTCCGGTGCAGTGCGAAAAAAAATTGAGATTGCGGGAGTAGTCGATGACCACGATCAGTGAATGCTCTACAAAAAATCAAACTTTATAGGAAATTAGGTCAAACGAACAACTTTTTTAAGCAATTAATATATTGTGTGTTTGATAATTGGTTTGAACCCAAATAAATAATTTATCCTATTACATTTAAGCCAAAAAACAAACTAATACTTCATAAAATTCACTCAAATATATATATATTCAAAAATTAAGGATTTGACTTCTTTCTGTTTTAAAATTGAAATAAAATTATGAAGTATCTATAATTTTAAAAGCATTGTTCGATTTAAATTAAAATTCCATAAATCTAATATATAATATAATAAGAAAACAAAATATTGTCTTATAAACTAATATTTACTTATTCAATTTCTTTATGAAAACCAATAAGCTCATCCAAATATTGGTAACACAAACGAAAGCATCTTGGGAAAAAGAGAGTAAGCGCTTGAGAGCAGCATGAGTCTGAGAGAGTGAAAAGTGCATTTGCCCCATTATTTGTACAGCGCAATCATACAATGTTGGCCCCATCGGCTCTCTTAGATCTGCTCTCTTACGCTCTGTGCAAGCTCCATGTGTTTCTGCCAAAGCAACTTTGTTGCCGTACATTGACGTCCCTAAACCGAGCGCACATTCACACTCTCGCTCTGAATCTCGCTCTCCACACACACGTTCTCTTCCTCTCTCTCTCTCTCTCTCTCTCTGGGGGATCGTAAGAAGAAGAGCCACCTTATATGGGGATCGGGTCGGGTTTTGATCGTCTAGCCGAAGGCCCTTGATATAGGTCGAACCACTCAGCTGAGCTCTGGCGCATCGGGATATGTTATTTATGCCACCTTCTTGGGATGCAGCGATGATGCTCCATCTTCGTGTGTCACACGCACATTTATCACACTTAAAGGTTTCCTTTCATCGTCGGCCGTTATAGTGGTCATCAGGATCGATTCTTCATCAGTCGGCAGGAAGATAATTGCGCTCAAGCTTGCGGTCCATTAAAAGTTATTCCCTGCCCGAGGGAATGCATGCAGCTTCCCCAAAAATGAAAAACAGATTCCCGATTCCCCGTTGGTAATGAATGGCTTAAAGACCTTGTCGCAAGGAGATTCCCCCCTTGATAACCAAATTTGATTGGAAATAATGGGTCAGAAATAAGGACTTATTGCAGATATTTACATATATGTATAATTTAAGATTAAAGTCCTTGGACTTGTTATTACAGATATTAAGATGTAGATTTTAGATTAAAGTGTCTGTAATTGTAGTTTTTTTTATGAGTTTTATATTTTTAAGTAACTTAACTTGATCACCTTAAATATGATATATTTGGTAACTTAATAAATTAAATAATTATTAGTAAAATCCAAAGATTCCAGACAAATCTCTGACCCACCGTTAGAACATAAGATTCCAGCATTTCTTTTGCATATTCATAACTTTGGCTCACACGCACCATCTTGGCCAATATAGTGATAGAGTGTCGAAAGAGCGTGGGGCTGCGGGCATCTCCAGTTGCATACTCATAAATCAATTAGCAAAGAGCGGCGAGAGAAGAGTATCTCGCGGATACGCAGTCCAACCGAAACTCGTTTGGCTTCGCCTCACGGATGAGTTTGCTCTCAAAAAACGCCAACAAACCTTTGGGCAAAACAACAGAGACAGAGACACAGACACAGAGAAAGATGCAAATGGAAATTGCAAAAAAAAAATAAGGAAACCGGCAAATATTTAAATATGATTTGCTCTCTCTCTCTCGGTCAGCATCCGCAAGATACAAAGATACTCGGCTGCCGCTCTTTGCCGGGATCCACGATGCACGACCCCCGCACTGATCATCATCAGCCTTTACCTCGGGAGTGGTTTATTTTTAACGATTCCACCGCAAGCAGTAGCGGTGGCGGTGGCGGTGGCAATTGCAAACATTTATACAAATTGACGTGTAGCTGTCGCAGTTGTCACTTCGCACCAGCCGCACCAAAGATACGCGATGCAGAATTCCCTGGATGACCCGGCGAATGTAATTCAAGTTGCTAACCGCAACCGACTGTCTCCGCAGATATGGCTCCACAACCACTACCGCCGCATGCTGCATGCCGCTGCCCCACATCCACACTCCCGTTTCCCCTACCCTTCCCCTCCTCATCCCCCTTCCACACCAACCACCTCTGACAACAGCTCGTGTTCGTGTTTTATAATTGTTATGGCCATTTCTACAAGTTGTTGTACATTGTTGGCGCTTCGAGGGCTTTGGGCTGGGATTGTGGCCGGATTTTGCACAGCAAAAATATAGTTGAAATTTAATTAAATTCAGTTTTTGGGTAATTTACTATACATTTCTAAGCTTTAAAGCCTTATTAAACAAATTGAACGAATATAGTTATGGTATCTTGTTATTATAAGCTAAGATTTTGTATTTCTGCTTGCCTAAATTTCATTCTAAACCCAATTTTAATGATATTTCTTGCTGTGTTCTTTTAGTGGGTAGCTGGACGAGTTGCTTAGGCATGCGAATCGCACACATGACTGGCGCCCAGATCGCAAAATGTATATCACCCGCCGTCTGTTTGTATTTCCCCTGAAAGTCAGTTTCGGAACGGCTCAAGCGGATATGTATCTACACGAAGAATACACCATTTCCATGAAATGCTTCAACTTGCTACACATGTGAATTTGTAATAGAATACATTTTTGTTGTTAAAATAGTTAAGAAGCAATAATAAATATTTAACATTATTACACAACTCTTCAATTATTCATGTAATTCTGCCATTACAAGACCCCATTATGTGTAACAAGCAACGAAAATGACTCTTAATGAGATTCCAATCATACCCAAGGATACCAAAATTTAATTACAATAATTTATTAAATTGTCGACTCGCATAATGCACATATATAATTAAATAAATCTGATAAATATGGTGAATATGAAGCGAAACCAACACTTTAATCATTAGGCTTTCTTAGTCCCTTCGAACCCTTTTTTACAAAAGGGTCCAACGATCATTCCCTCCATTGCGTCTCGGCCCTTTTCATTAAATGCCCATCCCTCCCCCTTGACCATGCCGCAGATGGGAAATTTGAGATGTTTTCGAAGCTGAACAAATTGGTAGCATAATGACAAATGGAGTGCCAAAAAACGTGTTTTATGTTCATAACCAAGATACGCATAAAGGTATTTAAGGGCAACCAAGACACAAGATTCCGACAGGCAACGAGCAGGAGGAGTTGGAGATTTGCAAGAAGACTCTGCTCTGAGGCAAAGCCAATCTGCATATAAAACGTAACCGAAAGGACAAAACCTTTTAGCCGAGCAGCGGGAGGAATCTGTGCGGGGAGCAGGAGCATGCACATCCTCCATCCATACACATCCACATCCACATCCACATCATCATCCTCCTCCTCCTGCTCCTCCAGGATGGGCAAAGTGTGAAACAAGGCTGGGGGGACATCAAACAGAGAGTAATTTACGCTTGCATGCAAATTGAAAAACAGTCGAGAGCAGGCACTGACACTGGTGTACGAGTTGGAGTTCCTCCAGTTCCAGCACTGGCAGAGGACTCCTGATTGACCACAGAGGACGGGGCCCGATGCATTTTAAAACAAATTGGCACAGTTTGTGAGAGGTGGCGATGGAGTTTGTGTTGCGTTTTGTGCCGAGGCGTGTTTGTCACTCAATTAGATGCAACTCATTTAGCAAGCTCTTGCATTTGGCCGCCATTTGTGTGCACAAAATGTTAATCAAAAGCCTGATGGCATTTTTTAGGCCAACTAATGATGCCATGCTGTGTGATGGTTCTATTGGGTTGACTCCGGGGGAGGGGGATCCTCCACCACACAGACATATTGATGACAGTCACTCAATTAATATGCAAAATTTATGCATGGGAAAGTTCAAAACAAACAAACCAACCATAACCCCAGCAACACGCAGAGTTATAAAACCTACATGTCGACGGTGGAAAGAATAAAAAAAGGGGGAAACCATGCCCAATAAAAAATCAATACAAATTAGCAGCAAGCTCACTTTATTTTGTTTTTATTTTTTTTTGTATTTTTTTCACCACAGAATTGAGTTGTTGTCACTGTTGCGTTTGTGCCCCATAATCCGATGTAAGCCCCACAAAAGAATGTTCTCCAATGCGTAGGCCAGCTTAAATATACCTCATGCGTGTCATCTGTGACACCTACTAAACTACAGGGTATCAGGTGTTTTTTTTTTAATTGTAGAGCTTCGTGGGGGGAGTATGGAATTCGTCTCACTTAGAATTATGGGGAATTATCTTTAAAACTTAGAAGAAAAGGTACAAAACTGTATATGTTAAGTTATAAAATAATCCTATGTTCAATGTGCGAAAATATGTAGAAAGCCCTGACCTGCAAGTCAACTAATTTCTCTGTCTGGCCTTTTGCTGAAACCCTCACCTTTGGAATGTATAAAACATAAACAAAACACCTGTCTATTAAACTAGACACCTAGTGTTTAAATATATCCTCTTTTACGGTTTAGAAGTAGTTTCTAAATTCTTCCATTTAAGTATTTTATTTAATTAAGTATAATACAGAAGCTTGTAACTCAATAGAAACCTTCTTTCCGATATTATAAATCATAGATATTCCTGATTAGCATCAATAACCAAGTCGATTAAGCTATGCCCTACAAAATGTTACCCTTTTTTTAAATTATGCAATAGGTTACATCAGTAAAATGATAATAAAATAATTACTTAGTTTTGGTTAATAAGTTCGTTCATTCCACTTTAAATTAATAGTTGCTCAAGTAACTTACCTACCTCTGAGACCTTTAAAGTTTAATCCATTTCCTTATTCCCTTAAATTAAGTAATGCTTGAAAACCGAATTAAAAAGTTGATTTAAATAAAGTTTGGCTGTGACCACAAGGCAGAGAACACACATGTGTTGCACATTGCAATTAAATCGCTGGCCGGCCTGCGATGAGGTCCTGAGATGTCCTGCGATGTCCTGTCCTGTACCTGGCATGAAGGGTTGTATGCTGCATTTGATGGCTGGACTGATGGAAAAGTTGTAGCGACCAAATAATTTGGTAGAATACAAGGCCAGGAGGAGGTCCTTGGGTTGAGCAGCGCACGAGAAGTTTGCAGCTTCCAAGAGGATGCTGATGATGATGATGATACTGATGGGTACGATCTCAGGGCAACAATAGTTTGCATCTCGAAGACACACGAGATGAAGTTATGCTGCTCCTTTTGCCCTCGTCCTGTTTTCCTGTTATTCTAGCTTCTGGCTTGCCGCAATCAACTGCACTGCATGTTGCGGTTCCTGCGAACAACTCGTGAGTGTGTGTGGGTGTGTATCTAATCACATTAGCACGTGCGCATATCCTTTTAAAGGAGCAGCCGGTGGGGGGTGGCGCAGTCCATCGGACTCCCCAGGCTGTCATTCAGAGCCGGGACTGTGCAAAACTAAAAACATTTTGGCCGCTTTGTTTTTGGCTCATTTCGTTTGTCGATTTTGATTATTTGTCTGTGGCTGCCCGCACACACACAGCACAGTACAGACTTTTGTTTTTTGCCAGTCCAACACCACCCCCCGCACGTCGCTATCACCAACTATTTGTATCTCAAAGTTGGCCCACACACACGTAGTATTCCACATGCGAATGCCAGATATTTTCTTTGTGCACTTCAAAGTTTTCCACAAAGGCGAAATAATTTTGCCCCCCTTTCCATCTCGGTTTTGAATTTGAAACCCCAAGTGATTCGATATTCTTATGCGTGCAGCGGAATTTCACCCACATATCTCAACTCTATCACGTAAAATCATTAAAACACAATGGATTTTTCTTTAAATGCAAGCAAATATTGTATTTATTTTTTAGGCATGCGATTGAACAAGCGAAAACTATGAAAAGTTCTCAACAAAGTACTCTTTAAAGTTTTGGTTTTGCGGCTTTAAATCTCAATGGTTAGTAAAGCAATCTAATTTTGTATACATAATCTGTATATATTGGCCCTCAGGCAACATTGTATTTGTTGTAGTATTATGTCGCAGGTACAACCATTTAATCTGCCTTCACTGGGACATAGGTTAGGATAATGGTCGAATGCGGGGCCACCTTGAGCTCCTTGAGATTCACCTTGGCCGAGTGAGCCACCTTGACAGAGTCCTCGTGGTTGTTATAGTGCTCACTAAAGTAGGAGATGGTCATCTTGTCGGGCAAATCAGCCGGGCCGGTGAAGTTCCTCGACTGTGGCACCTCGGTGGGATTGAAGATGACAAAGTAGCCGGGATTTCCAGACTTGATTCTGCGAGGGAAGAAATGAAATTAGTTAATAAGATTATGTATAAATACTACAGTTTATAAAATGGAAAGAAATTAAGTCAAAGAATAATTATAGATATTAGTTTGTTAATATTTTTACCTCTGCCTTCAAAGGGCAAGCATGAAGAAATTGACAAGAATTAGTAACAATTACAATTAAATATAATAAACCACAAATTACCTGGAAAAGGCCACCAGAGGATCGGCGTTGAAGAGTGTGAGCTCGCCATGCATGTAGGATGCAGACTTGCGCAGCATCTCGATCTGCCTGTATGTCTCCTCGGTAACATTTGTGTACTCGACAGCATCCACAGGAACCACAGGAACACCAGGCAGCAAGGAGAGGAACATGGCCAGGGCAGAGGGATCCTGTGGAGTGTCCACGAAGACATCCGCAAAGTTCCACTGCAACCAGCTGTCATTGCCTGCCTGGAAGAGCGTGTTCTCCAGATTGCTCTTCAGCGACTTTTCCGGCTTCGATTTGCTGAGCACCTTGACGAAGTCACCATACATGGGCAGATCGATACCGTTGACTCCGGGCACATCGCTTAATTGGTAGACCTGAGGCTGGATCACATCTTCGGCCACGGATAAGAAGGCCTCATCGGAGGCGTTCTTTACGATGCTCAAGTAATCATAAAGGACGTCTCCCAAGCCAGACTGGAACGTGGTCTGCTTGTGGTCGTAGAAGCCATAGTCTCCCTCTCCCAGGTTAAAGTCCTTGGGCACTGATGATGGCTCCTCTTCCTCCAGTTTGTCCGAGAGCACAAAGAATTTCGTATTCTTCAGACGGATGCCTTGGACGCCCAGACCAACCAGGTGGCGCAAGACTCCTCCGAATTCGTTCCTGATTATAGTACTATTCATCTTGAGATCGTAGTGACCCTCTTCGAATTGGGAAAGCAGGTAGCTGTCGTCCAACTTCTCCCAGGCACTGCGATTGCCTCCCACCTTCAGCCACTTGGTAGGTGCTGTGGTCTTTCCGCTCACCCAGACCAACGCAGAGCGCTTCTCGGGATCAGCAATGGCATCCTGCACCAGCTGCGAGTCCTTGGGCACAAAGTTGGGTGTCACATCAAGGATCACCTTGGTGTCACTGCCCACATACTGGGCGACCAATCGCTTAATCTGCTCCTCTACCTCCGGCTTCTTAACGTTGTATGTCAGCTCAGCGGGCAACTCGTAGATAGCACCTGTGGCATGGATCTTCTTGGCGGTCTGCACATCCTGCGGCTTGGCAGCCTCAATTTGGGCGAACTTGGCATGGGGTCCACGCTTATACCAGGCCAAAGGCTGGGGGGCAGCGCACTTGGGGGCTCCGATGATGATCAGAATGGCACCCACCAGCATGCCCACCCAAATGGCCCAGAAGCCCACAAAGAAGATCCAACGCAAGCGCACCCAGAAGGGATCGTTGGCATATTTCATTAGCTCCTCCTTGCTCATGCCAGTAAATGCCTGTAAATGGAAAACAGCAATTCGTTAGAGATACTTGTTAAACTAATATCCTTATCCTTATCCTTAGTATACTCTTACAGGGTATTATAATTTTAGTAAGAAGCTTGTAAGGCAGTGAAGGAGTCATTTCCGACCCTATAAATCATATATATTTTTGGTCAGCATCAAAAGCCGAGTCGATCTAACCAAGTCCGGTCGACAAACAAATTTTTGTAATTTTTTCAAAAAAATATAAGGGGTTACAAATTCTCAAAAATTGGCAATATGTTTAATTTTTTTACATTTTAAATTGAGTATACAGATTTATTAACCGAACAAAACCTAGCATAGGAATGCTTTCCGAATTGAAATTAATGCATTTTTTGCTTAGTTATGAGTTTTTAAAACTTTGATTTGTTGAAAAAATTTTCATATTAAAATACCGATAAATAATAATTTTAAAAATGCGAATATTTTATACCAAGTTACGATTCTATTCTATAATTCAAGTGCAAAATGGTTGGGTATGTTTCCTTTCTTGTTTATTATTATATTTCTATTTACTATTTTACTTCAATTCTATATTTAGAAATGTACTTACCGGCTTGCCTCCGTTTACGGGTCCAATATCGATTTTAGCATCGCCATTCTGGTGATCGTTCTTAATGAACTTCACCTCATCCCTGCGCTCGGTCAGCTTATCTTCCGCTCCATTGAGCATCTGCTCGTCGGCTCCATTCTCATCCTGGACCATTTCGACTGGAATGTGAACGATTCAACATTGGTTAATTGACTCTAATCAGTTTCAATTAAGCTCGTGCCCGAGCTTTACTCAAGCGATCAGGCGAGACTTTCTCTCGAGAACAGCTTTTTTCAGGTTAAGGCGAAAGAGAAGCCAAGCCACATTTAATATATGTATGTATGTACTTTACTAAGAAGTGAAGGGTGGAAACTCCCTGTTTTTCATCTGAGATTTCCGCTTGCTGACGTCACTGGGAACCAGTACAACAGTTTTGCGTTTGCGCCTCATGAAAAAAAATCGACCTGTGGCTTGCTTTTCACTGCGATATAAAAGAAAATCAATAGCAGTCTCCGCCTTTACTCTCTGAACACTTTTCTTATCTATCTCTTCGCTGATAACGCACTGAGAAATTTTGTATCTACATCTTAAAAATAGATACTATATCTATGTTCTTTCCAGTGCAAAATCCACGCATTGTTACGTCAGCTTTCCCATTTTTTCAACTTATGTATATGCAAAATGCGATTTTCTTTGTTTAATTACCTTTTTCGGGGCTCGGATTTCCACCCAGAAACTTGTCCTCAGCTATGGATTTGTAGACCTCGGAGGAATTAGCGGTGTTCGGAGCAGCTGCGTTGATTGTACTATCAGTCGCGTCTGAAATATATCACGTTAATTTAGCGAGATGAACACGTTCTCTATACTATTAATGAAGTTTTCGAATTTGTATATTAGACGCAGTGTGACCGCCAGATTTTTCGTTTATAAAACCAGGAAGCCAGTGATTATATTTCCACGTGGCATCTGGTCACACTTATATGAACAGGACGTAAGCAAAGAAAAACGTAACCGTTTTTCACGTAATGTAAATTGTCATAAAATAATACAACTTTAATGCCAAAAATGTAACTTTTAACTATATAAAATGGTGGGATAAAGAAAGAACGAGTATTCACATTTAGCAAAAACAAATTACGATTACGGTGGCTTCCTAACATCTCTCAAAAGCCAAATGATATAAAATTACGTTGGCGCGCAATTTGATTTGAACTTACCAGTAACCGGCAGTGTAACGGAATTCTGCAATACAATAAATTAATAAAACTCAAAAATGTCTTGGCTTTTGGTGCACTCACCTTGCTGGCAGCGTGGCCTAAGCGTTTTAGACGTGAAAACAAATTCATGGCCAACACTTTCCCTTGGGGTTTTCTTTATTATTATTTTATTTATTGTTTATTTCAGAAAGGTTATTTCAGATTAAATATTTTCACTTGACTGCAAAATTTAGAATACCAAAACATAAAAGTAGTTTATATTAATAATTAATAGTACTTAACTAAACTTTGGCTTGATTAATTATTAAATTGGATAATGATTAAAAGATTCGATCAAAATCTTTCCATAAAGACACACTGGTGTATTTACAACTTAATTATATAAACAATTATTGATAAAAAAGATTGTTTTTTATGTTTACGTAGACACTCCTAAGACCTCGCACAACAATTTTTTGCATATTTAACAGTTTTTCTTTAAACGATAAGCAGCTTAGTCACATATTTTCTCTGAAAGCCAATTGTCTTGTCAGCTTTCTTACTTTCTTTCATAAAATATATGTATTAATAAATTCTTCGACGTTATAAGGTTGTCTTCCGAACGTGACACTTTAATGAAAAGCCTTAAAGCTGATGCAATAACACCACCGATTCAAGTAAAATATATATAATGTTATCTTAAGCACTTTTCACTGAGGATTTTGCCAGTTTCACCATTTGTCTTTCAATAAGATCCGCCCGGTAAGAGGTCTGAATTGCGACTGAGTCTGCAGAGCTGCAGTGCCTGCAGTGCATCGCTCCCAGAGGCACTGCCTCGATCGCGATCGCGTTCGCTTCTCGAATTTGATTTAATTATATTGTACATGCCCGAGCCATGTGCGTAAATGCGATTTATGGCCTGCGGCGATCCAGACGATCCACGCCAAGCCCAAAAACTACCTGTCCGCGACGGCTTACCTGTACTGTTGTCGCTGGCCAAAGTGCCGACCAAGTTGACCAAGCCAGTTTCTGACCAGCTCGAGAGAACCGGGCAAAAAACTGCACTCGTCGGCACATTCCTGGACGAAAATGTGCAGCGTCGTCTGGCGATTCCGCAAGGTTGTCGGCCAGAATCAAAATTACTGAAGCTCAACGCACAAAAAATTGATCAATTTCGAACCCGCATTACCTGCTGCTCTGGAAGTCCGATTAGGTGACATGCAAGGGTCATTAGCTCATTAAGCGGGAGCTATATATGAAGCAGTCTTGGGACCTGCACCCACAATTTGACGCTATGGGTTTCCATGTGGGACGACAGTTGCTGCTCTCGGGCTTCCTGCTGGTGCTGCTCCAGGTGCTAACCGAAACACAGGCCAGGCCTCAGGTGATTTATAAAAGGTGGAATCGAGGAGACACTTGATTAATTCATCCCATTGCCAGGATGTGATAACCGGCGAGGAAACAGAGGTGGTAAAACAGGAAGGTGGCGACGGAGATGACGATGACTCCTCCTCAGAGGAAACGGTGGAGGATTCGGAGGAATCACGTCGACGACGACGACGCGAAGTGGACTTGGATAATCCTCCGTCGGCTCGGGCGGGCATTCCAGGTTTGCCAGATCCGGCCACCATTATTAAGATCGCTGAGCTTTTTCAATCCATAGGCGAACAAGTAGTCCCGATCCTGTTGCAAGCAGTCCTTCCCGGCTCGGAGGCCACCGGTGACCGTTTCGCCAGGTCTTTGCAGTTCCTGGAGAACCTGGAGGCTGCACCTGAAGGTTTCGCCACCGAAAAGAATGAATAATCAGCTGATGAAATGTATATAACCGGAGCTGAAGGAGCTAAGCCGGAATACTAGTGACCTAGAATTAAACTTAGATAAATTTTGGTTGCTTGAGCTGAAACTGAATTGAATTTATTTAATTAGAAAATACCTGGAGAGAGGCTGTCACAATCAATTATAAATATTATGAGGTATTAGTGAAACAGTCCCATCTCGTTCTTAGGTTATGATGAAGATGAAACTTAGGCACATAACTTTTCCAATCAATTCTAGAAAACATCTATCATAGTCTAGTTATATACTACTATCCCAGAAATACATTTTCTGAATCACACACCTGCGTACCAAAGTAACTACATCTGAAGTACATTAATTAGAGCTTTGAGAGCATCCAAAAATACCAGAATATTTCTTGAGCAGGCAGGAGTGGCATGCAACCTTTAGGGTATGTGATCGGAAGCAGGGCATTAACTCCTAATGAAATAATTATGTATGGGAGAGCGTCCCTCTGTGTACCTATCCTGTTTTCAACAAAGTATGAAATAATTTGCATAAATTGACGGCATTGAAGAATTCTTCTGGTTTGGTTTCTTAAAAGACCGGCAGAATATGTATGGCCATTAGTCATAATGGGCATACACGCCCTACGAGGGTTTCAATAACCTCAGGCTTTAAGTCTGTTTTTAAAAAGATTCTCCTGGGGTGTAACTTTTTAATATCAGTTGATTGCAACGTTAGTTAAAAGAGATTTAAAAATATCCCATACCTTATGGATTTGCACAGAATCTCTGGTTTTATGGTGTGTGAAAAATAATAAAACAAAATTTAACAAATGCTTGGGAATTTTTCAGGTGAATGAAAGAGATGTCCAGTTTTTAGGTTTTCAGTTTTATTTACAGAAATATATTTAAATTATTTGTAAGAAAAATAGAAATGATAAAAACTATAGTTTAAAGTGATTTGTTGTGAAATATCCAGTATAAAAAATTAAGTTTCTTTAACACCCTCTGTTCTTCCGCCATATTTTTTGTGTTTTATTAAGATCATGATGTATATTAAACAATTTAGATATAAAATGTTTATTAAAATTGCCAAAAAGATCTTTCTTTATTATTTCTATAATATATCGATATGTTATGTCATTTCGAATAGATGCATATTTTATATCTACTGTCAGAACCAAAATTCACCTAGCTATCTTTTTACTTTAATTATTCATTAGCTCTTCTTGAATAAATAAATAAATAAATTATTCATTTTAATTTTTAATGTAAAGGTGGCTTAAAGTGGCGACACTAGCGGGCAAGCTGTAAAAACATCTTCGTCATGTAAAACAGATGTATAATGTCAGATTCATATTTTACTCCAATATCTTCAGTGAAGAGAACCGAGAAGCTTGGCAGAGAAGAGAGCCTGACTCTCTTAAGACTTAACTTGTTTTAGTTTTAAAGTCGTAATTTTTAATACAATCAGATGAATGGATTTAACCATGTCCATCAATTTATTTTTAACAACAGAACTTAAAGACTGCAAGACCTAGGACTAGGATTCAAGGACTATACCCTTTCAGGGAAAATATATCATAACTCAGTCAAAAATCCATTAATTTTAATTCGGAAAGCTTTCCTATGTTAGTTTTTACAAGGTTATTAAATCTACATACTTAGTTTATAAATGAAATTTTTGGCCAATTTTTGACCATTTTAACGATGTAAACCCATATAAAAATTTGACAAAATTACGAAAAATTATTTTTCTCCTAGACATGGCTAGATCGATTCAGCTGTTGATGCTGATCAAGAATATATATGATTTATAATATATAATTTATATTGTAGGGATTCCTACTCATAGAAGTTCAAGGTAAGTACACTAATCATATATTAAAAACTTATTTTATATACAAAAAAAAAACATGAATAATTTTCTTAATACCTTTGAAGTTAGCTAAGTATTAAGAGGTCAAATATTAAATATATCATAACTAAGCCAAAAATTCATTAATTTTAGTTTTTATTAGGGTAACAAATCTGCATACTCAATTTAAAAATTAAAAAAATTCAAATTTTCGTCAATTTTTCACCATTTTAACGATACGTCTTATAAAAATTTAAAATTGTCAAAAAATTTAAAAAAATTAAATTTATGCCGGACCTGGCTAGATCAATTCGGCTGTTGATGCTGATCAAGAATATATATGAATAATAGGATCGGAAATGACTCCTTCACTAAGTTTCAAGCTTTCGACTGAAAGATAGGCTTTGCTTAATTATTTGGTACATAGAGCGCTCTCCTCTGCGATTCTCAAGTCTTATACTTAAGCAAGGCCCTAGCTAGAGGAAGTTTAGTTTTCTTCTTCTTCTTTTATATAAATTACTAATTTAGTGCTTAGTGGTTGATAGAATTTGATCAAGTGGATGTGGCAACCATGGCTAGATCGAGTCGGCTGTTGATGCTGATCAAGAATATATATAAATAATAGTATCGGAAATGACTCCATCACTAAGTTTCAAGCTTTCGACTGAAAGATAGGCTTTGTTTAACTATTTGGTACATACAGCGCTCTCCTCTGCGATTCTCAAGTCTTATACTTAAGCAAGGCCCTAGCTAGAGGAAGTTTAGTTTTCTTCTTCTTCTTTTATATAAATTACTAATTTAGTGCTTGGTGGTTGATAGACTTTGATCAAGTGGATGTGGCAACCATGGCTAGATCGAGTCGGCTGTTGATGCTGATCAAGAATATATATGAATAATAGGATCGGAAATGACTCCTTCACTGAGTTTCAAGCTTTCGACTGAAAGATAGGCTTTGCTTAATTATTTGGTACATAGAGCGCTCTCCTCTGCGATTCTCAAGTCTTATACTTAAGCAAGGCCCTAGCTGGAGGAAGTTTCGTTTTCTTCTTCTTCTTTTATATAAATTACTAATTTAGTGCTTGGTGGTTGATAGAATTTGATCAAGTGGATGTGGCAACCATGGCTAGATCAAGTCGTCTGTTGATGCTGATCAAGAATATATATAAATAATAAGATCGGAAATGACTCCATCACTAAGTTTCAAGCTTTCGACTGAAAGATAGGCTTTGTTTAACTATTTGGTACATAGAGCGCTCTCCTCTGCGATTCTCATGTCTTATACTTAAGCTAGGCCCTAGCTAGAGGAAGTCTAGTTTTCTTCTTCTTTTTGTGTGTTTTTTATATAAATTACTAATCTAGTTGTTGGTGGTTGATAGACTTTGATCAAGTGGATGTGGCAATTATAAAAATTATAGTTTTCTTAATTAAGGTAAGACGTTAATAAAATATCTCTTGATAATTGAAACCAAAACAAGGCCCAAAAAAGTCAAGATACATGAAAATATGGTTTATATTAAATTATTGTTTAATTACCATACCCTTGGCCGTATTGACCAGCTTATTATTGATCTCGAAAAGTCTTCCAAGCTCTTTTTAAGAGCCGTGATGATCATGACGAGCGGGGATATGGTGTCATTTATTTGTTTATAGTAAAGTATACTTAACTCCCGAAAATAGTTTATTCAGCACAACTTACTAAACAAAGAACACAACAATGGTGATGACCGAAACTGCTCAATATAAAATATATATTAAAATAAGTTAATCTATATTTGTAAAGCAAATTTTTAAGAATTGGTATGCTTTTAAATAACAGAAAGTTAACACATTTCAAGCAATGTTTGTATATCATTTCTTCACACAAAAACCCGCTCAAAAAATAAGGATTTTAAGCTTGCTAATAAAAGCCTATTTAGGATTTTTTTTCCTTGTTTGTTTCCTTTTCTTTTTTTTATACCCTTGCAGGGTATTATTATTTCAGTCAGAAGTTTGCAACGCAGTGTAGGAGGCACCTCCGACTATATAAAGTATATATATTCTTGATCAGGATCAACAGCCGAGTCGATCTAGCCATGCCCGTCTATCCGTCTGTCCGTCTGTCCTTCTGTCCGTCTGTCCGTTTCTACCCAAACTAGTCTCTCAGTTTTGAAGCTATCTGAATGAAACTTTGTAGTTAGCCTTCTAATCGGATCGGACTACTATATCATATAGCTGCCATTGAATGACCGGAAAATTTTTATAAAAAAAATTATAACATTTTCAGTTTTCAACAGATTTTCATCAAGTTTGAGGTATAGCTATTTTATATTAGTCTTAAATTTTGTGTAAAATTTCATGACAATCGGACGACTGTGCCATACAAACGATCGTTTGATGTAGAGGAAAAATGCAAATCTATGAACTGCAAATATAAATATGTTTAGGTGAATTAAATGAAAACAGGCGTTACTTCATTGTTTTTAATCATAAATATATATAATTTATATTGTTGGGATTCCTAGTCATAGAAGTTCTATCTGCAAGGGTATATAAACTTCGACGTGCCGAAGTTAACTTACTTTCTTGTTATTTATATAAAGAGCAATTAGCTAAATTCATATGAAGCATTTGAAGCAACAGTGACTATGACCCTCGTTATGCTCCATGTGGCAGTTGCAATTAAGGCCTTGGGTGGTCGTAAATTTCATGGTCTCCACCTAACCCTTGGTGGCCATATAACTTGGCTTTACTAGTTTTTGAGGTAATGTCCTTGATAACATCCTTCCTTCCCATGAATTTATAATATATATTCTCTTTTTTATATATATTCTCTTTATATATCTTTTTATATATATCTGATTATAATTCACCCACAAACTCACCCCAAAGCCACACAGTTAATGCAAGCTCATTAACTAGGTTTAATCTCGAATTTATTTATAAAATAAAAACACATTTCCTTTTGTTCAAAAAACAATCCATCGACAGAATAAACACGTATTAAAAGTGCCGCTTGCATTATCAAAAAATACAAAAAGTAAATAGTTTTAGATATGAAAAGCGAAGAACCAAACGGGACTCACAAATCCTTCCTCCCATCCCGAAAGGATATATGTATCAAAAGGCACTAAAATCTATATACATGAAAAGGGATGTATAGAAATACAGTTGTGGATCAGGAGCAGGAATATATAGGTTATAGAACATAGACATGATTATGTGTGTATATTTGGAAAATTAAGATTTGCCAGCAACATTTGTTTTGTGGTGAACCTCTCGTGGATGTGTCCGTGAAATGATGTTTTTTTGCGTCGTTTTCTTTTTCTTTTTCCTTGTCTTTAATTGATCTTGATTGCGAATTCGATTTGGCTTAGATGTAGGCTTGGACTCCCTATGCTTACGTTTAATTTAAATGTACGGTAATTTAATTGGTAGCGTAATTAATTTATGCTTATGTGTGTTTCATGTTTGGCTGGCTGGCTGGTTGGCTGTGGCTGGCATTCCCATCCCGATCCGGGGCCTCACTTGTTGCCGGCATTTACGAGGACGCGTTGTCTCGCCGTCGAATTGGAGTTCAATGCCGGATTGCACATCTCCGTGGTGAACTTGGAGAAGGTGTTGTGGAAGCCATTCGCCTGGCCATTGCGGGTGGGCGTCGACGATGATGGCACATCGCCATCCTTGAGCGCCTTGGCATGTCCGTTTGCATGTCCATTCGCCTTTACCGCGAATTTGTCCTGGAAAAGAATAATTATATTTAATTAGAGAATCTTCCATTAAAACCTCATTCATTTTTCACGACTTACCTTGCCATCGCGCTTCACATAGGCCCTCTTGTAAAAGTTGGAGAACAGGAAATAGAACATCACCGCATGGGCTCCAATGAAGTAAGCGAAGCCAATTGGATAATTGCAATCGTTCTTGAAGAACAGCTGGAAGGAGTGCACCATCACCAGGACAAACTGGATCATCTGCAGTACGGTGAGGTACTTCTTCCACCACAGATAACGCTGCACCTTGGGACCCATGGCGGCCAACATGTAGTAGGCATACATAATGATGTGCACAAAGGTGTTCAGGAAGCCAAAGAAGGTCGAATGGCCTCCGGGAGTGAACTTGACGCCCCACCAAACGGACACGGGCATAATGCCATGATGGATCACATGGAGAGTGGACACCTGATCGTACCTCTTCCTCATCACAAAGAAGAAGGTGTCAAAGAACTCGGTGAACTTGGAGAAATAATACCACCAGCAGCCTTCAGCGGTCTAAGGTAGATAAACAATTAAATATAAGTATAAAAAACTTTTAGGAAAATTAAAAATTGGTAAAGAAATTTTCTATAGAATCTCTGGCTCTTTGTTTATAGAACTTTCTATGCAAATATATTTAGAACAATGTCTAGTTTTCTTTTAAAAGTAATAAAGTGTAAATTATTTTTAGTCTGTTATAGAATTTAACTACAGCAAATGCAAGTTATGTAAAGTATTATTTAACTAAGTTGTAAGGTTCAGCAAATTACAGTAATAGAAATGCACATATTAAATATATTATAAAATAATAACATATAATAATGCAAACAGCTACCAGTTTTATGCATAAATTAAACCTAAGTTGGTAAACAATGCAAAAATGTAAGTAATATCTTGATTGAAATATAAACAGCTAAGTTTCTTTAATTTCTATGTGCTAAACTTTCTTATCGCTTATACAATTTTTGTGAATTTCCGTTAAATCAAATATATAATACACAGACAGAAATGCTATGCTTTTTCATGGCCAATATTTCTTCGGCTCATTGTTATGCAAAGAAAAAAAGATCACAGATCAATTCCGTTTTGCCCTGAAACTAACGGGCTTAAACATAGATAGCTTCATGCTTATCAATAATACAGAATTAAATGGGTGATTTGCCAAATCTTTGGCGCTGTCAACTTTCTAAGACTGCCACTTTCTTTGGGTCGTTTACCCAGTTTAGCCAGCCTGGCGACACACGTGAGGTTTATAGTGTCTCTAAGATAAATCCCTCCACTAGCCACACAGCCGGCATTTGCCGGCATTTCGGCATTTCATTTTAACCATTTCTTTGCCATTTTTTGCTATTAGCATAGAAGGAGAACCTGTCGTTCTTTCTAAATTCAACCACTAAAACTGGTTGCTTACATAAAATCTGGCCCAGTCAACAAAAGACCTTTGCTATTTGCCAACAAAAAATCTAAATTTATATATGTTTAAGCTATACACACACACACTCATTTGCTTAGCATATAATGAAGATGGGTTTCCAGATCTATACTTACACGTATCGCTTTGGGCGAGTAGGAATAATCAACGGGTTCGCATCTCAAGTTATAGCCATTCAGCCATCCGCCCAAGCAGGACTATTAGGGCGAGATTATTATGTTTCAATGGAATTTTGGTTAATTAAATTGCTTTATTATTACCTCGTAAAAGAGCCAGGCACTGAAGGCAACCTGCAGGGCATTGTAGACAATCAAGACTTTGCGCAGCTCAAAGGGCTTTCTGTTTTCCATCAGCTTTGGGCCAAGTACCTGTAATCAGAAAGAGAGAGACATCAGTAATTGCATCCTCTTCACTCTCTCATTTAACATAATCAAATAGAGGCCAAAGTCGTCGGTGTTGCAGCAATTATCAAATCAAATCAATCGACAGGCGACCGACTTTGTCTGTTTGGTTTTGTGACAAGTTCGTTGCCTAAGTCTTTTGTTTGACCAACCAAGTCGGCGCTCGATTTTTTTAGCAGTCATGTGAAAGTAAGTTAAATGCTTTTGTAAAATTATGAATGTGAACCCAATGCAAAGCGAGGAAACCTAAATAGAAATCGTTTTTCGAATTGATTTTTTTTGTTCATCTCTTTTTTTTTGTTAATTTTTTTGCATAATCGCTGACTCTCAGGTCATATTTCGACATCACTCGGGCACTCGGGACGAGAGATGATCATCGGTTGGCCCTGAACCTCATCTCTTGTTTCACCGTCATTTTGCAATGCAATAAAAATCGAAACTAGTTTTGCGCTGCAAAAAGGATCCAACGATCCGCGGAGCAGGCACTCCCGTATAATCAGCGTATCAGCCATTTATGGCCTACAAAATCAACATAAATTGGCCACTCAGAATGATTCTGTTTTTCTCTGGGTTTCTTCCATCTTCAGTAATTATAGATTGAAGAAGGTGAATCCCCCTCACATACTCACCTTCACAATGTAAGCATATGTCAAGCTGATGGCTATCGTGGGGAACGGTGAGCTCATGAGCGGGTAGTCTCGTGTTCGCGGATCCGATTTATTGTCCATCAGATCCCGCCAGCCATCGTAGAAGTTTGTGAGGTACTCCTGCAAAAGGAAAATAAGATACTAGATTAATAACCTGTACTAAGTTATAGTTAGCTCGTTAGCAAGATCAAGTGTCAAATCAATAAATTACTATACAATGTTGCAACAAGAGTTCACCAAGGCGGACAGCTGATGGATTACAAGCATTAACTCTGAGTTTTTGGTTTTTTACTTTTTGATTTTAATTAAAGTCTCCCTCCCCGTATCAATCACTTGATGTTGCAATCCACGAATAACAAAGGAAACACAAAGCCAGCGGCACGGAAAGAAAATCAGTAAGTAATCGAATTCGAAACCATATTCTCCACGAATTTCCGTATGTTAGTCCGTGATTTTGTATCATATTTGTGTGAACGGTAATTTACCAATTGTCCATTAACATCATCAAAATATAAAAAGCCAAAAAATTGCAGCCAAGAAAAACTGGTGCAGCAGGCTCTATGCTACTGGCAAATGTTGCAACACTCAATGGCCTCTTGCCTCTTTGTGTGTGATAAATAACAAAACAAAACAAAACAATCTAGAAACGAGTGACCGACTAACTGACTAACTGACTAACTGACTGACTAACTAAATAACTGACCCGCTAAGAAGCGACGGGGAATGCGGGGGATGCCAGGAAAAGCTAAACCAGTTCCGCGAGTGTTAATCGCCGCTTAAATAGTTAAATACCCGACTGAAGGCAATTAAAGAAAAACAACGCCAGTCTTAATTGCAGCGAGGAGGATTGCAGCCGATTTCTACGGTGGGGTTAGGGTTAACTTAATTGATTTGAACGAAATAATCAGGGGCGTACATATGTGCGGAATGTCAAGGGAAATAAGCCCGATTGGGAAAGCGGCATAACTCATTTATTAAATTAAATTACAGTCATTAACAAGTGTGCTAAAGGAAAAAACAAAAAACAAATCTAGTTCTGCATTAGGTCTTTTCCTGAACAACTTGTAACCGTAATTAAGGAAATATTTCAAAGCAACGCCAATGCAGAAATAAACTAGTAATTAAAGTTGTGACTTTAGTCAGAATAGAAATAATAGGGTTTTATAGCCATGTCCTCATTTGGATTTCCGTAGATAAACTATGCTCGTTGTGGTTCATTTAATTTCAATAAAATTCTAAGGAAATTGAAAACAAGTCAGGGCTGATTAGAGAAAATGCTAGCCTTAATTTATATACAGAGTCATATAGGTGAGCTATTTATTATAAAATATATACTTGTATCCAAACTAAATGGCATAATATCTCACAGGATATTATTTTGTGTTTCTCTTGAAAGAAAATTTCCTCAAATTTAAAGTTTTTTTAAACCAAAAATAATAATACATATTAAACAAAATGCCTTGTGTATGAATCCATTTTCGGGGCACTTACTTTGGTCACTTTATGCCGTTCGAATTGTATGTAATTTTGGTCTTGCCTCTCGATTTAGTTTTGAATTACTAAATACATGGTTATTTTTAAGCAGTAAATCTAATTCATTCTCAGTCTGCCCCAAAGCATTTATATTTTGCATAACACTTTACATCAAGCTTAGGCTCCTGAAACATCTTAACTACGCCTCTGGTTATAGGCTGCTCATTCATCATTCTCGACTGGCTGGTGAGGCTACTGAGTTGTCCCCCAGCAGACCGGTGGGACAGGTGGGAAACAATGCTCATTTGTCGCCTGGCCAGACCTAAGTACGTCAGAGGAGGAGGTGAACCTGCAGTGCAGGTGGAGGTGGAGATGAAGGCAGGGACAGGCTGATCAAGCGTTGAAAGCCGCTTCAAGACGTTTGTTCATTAATGAACCGAGTCTGCCATTAAGTGAACTTACTGACCAACCTCTAGTATGTATTGTATGTGGGTTGTGTGATGTCTACGATGTCTAAGATGGGTGTGGTCCGCGCTGGACATAATGAGTGTGTGTAATTGCTGGTTTATGTGAAGAACCGCAGCGTTAACCAAACAATTTCCCTTTGGCGTTGCAAGATTTATTGAAAAATTTTTAGCCACTCTAAGAGTGACTGGCAGAAAATTTTCCTATTACACATCTGATGTAATTCGGGAATATACTTAGTACATGGCCAGTGAAGCGTCTTGGGGCGGACTTTAACCACTATCCACTGTCACCATGATGATGATTCAGAAGCGAGGTCTAACCCAGAAATGAAATATACAAAAAAAATAAACCTCCAAACTCCGGAAGACATCGCTTCCCCTCTCAACTATGTCGCTATGTTGATTGCATCTAATTAAGATTCACTTTTCGAGAGAGTTTCACTTTTTTTTTTAAGGTGCGTGCTAGATAATTAAATTTAAGAAAAGACCGGAAAACCCTAGGAAAGCACAAAGATAACTGCTTAAAAAGGGTTGTAAAATTAAGGGGGAACTTCTATTTTATGGATTTAATATTTCCAAATTCCTCTGCAGCCTCTTTCGAAACAACCCCATAAATATCTCATTAAATATTTTACTTATACTAAAAAAAAACTTGTAAACATGTTTATTACCTCAAGATAATTATATAATTAAATAAATAATGACTAACTAGGCAATTGTGTTGAGAAATACAGGTAATTTGTGGCACTGACATTATTTATATTTCATTTTATATCAGCCTATTTTCTTTTACAGATTTTGTGTCTAAAGATTTGTTTAGTAAAACTGATTTAATTCATTGAAAGCCAGCAAAGTTCTAGCTATATACTTTTTATCTTCATACGTTTATCAAATGTTGAAATATATATTTATTTCATTGTTAAATCTGTAACTAAATTATATATATTTTCCCTCCGTATCTTTACTGCTGTGACCTTGTTAACCTTTAACTACTTCCGGTACTGCAGCATTACTATTTATATTTTAGGTAATTTCCAGACTTTCTCACCTGGCCAGGTGTGTGTATGTGGGTGAGGTTCAAGTGTTTGTTTAGTTATTTGTCCGATTATGGCAACTTATTAAGCAATTTGCATTGCACCTTTTACCGTCCCACACTGACGTAGGTCAGCAACAAGCAAGTGTTTTAATTTCACATATCTTATGGCATTTGATTAAGGAAAATTACTAGCGATGCGCGTCATAAAAACCCGTTTTCTCACACTATCTGGGTGAGATCTATTAAGATGAAAATAGTATATACTTAGCACGCATTATGGTGCACTCACAGTGGGACAAAAGTGCAATTAAATTTAATTGCAGGTATTTTTTTGCTGTCAGTTTATGTCGCTGCTGCATTATTGCTCTAGTTAGAACCGACATAGCCAAAGTTTTCATAGAAGGAAGTTAAATAGTCGGTTCCGGAACACCTCGGAATTTCATTCACAATAATTGCTAGGCTTTTGTGGTTTGTGCCGCCAAATCAGTTTATCCAATGATCTGTCATAATTCGATCTATCATGGCATTGTTCAGTAATTATTGTCAGGCCAGCTTAAGCTTGTTTTGGTTTCTGGTTTCTTGTTTTGTTATTTTTTTTGGGGGGTGATCTGATTGAAGTGCAAACAAAAGACTTAGGACACGAACGTGGGCGCAAAGTTCGTTGGGTTTTCAAGTAGTGCGCACTTTGGGCTGTATTAATGAAGCGATTCAGTTTTTATATATTCTTTTTACGAAATTAGTTGACTTCCCAACGTTGCAGCTGTTCTGAATACACAAAACTCTAGGCTCATAGCGAATTACCCCATTGAGCCATTAAAATAATGTACGCATTTTGCAAAATATATCTGGGTGGTCGAGCCGAGAATAGAATCTGCTACGTAAATAATATTAAATGGCCATCTGTAAGCATTTCGCAGCAAATGTGAAATTATACTTTTGTCGCGCAGTTCCTGAGGTTTGTTGAACTTTTTTCTTTTGTTTTTATATTTTGACAAAAAGCAAATTAAAATAAAAGCAAAAAATTAAGCATAGGGGGAGAATAAGGATTAAACAAATAATATGGGAAACCGGTATTTGTAAAAAGTCAACAAATCAGGCTTTTACCTATACATTCTAAATTATAATTTTCAATGAGTTAGCCAAGTGGTCGGTGTGTGTGTGTGTGTTTGATTTGGAATCTGCAAAAGCTTGGCCAATAATTTTTTGGCAAATAGTGATTCACACACTTGGTGGCTTGTGTAATTCCCATTTTTGTTGTTTTCTGCCAATTCTGCCGATTCACGGTGATGAAGATGATGATGTCTCGGCCAGAATTTAAGCCAAGCTTTTCGGTTTTTTTTTGTATTTTTGCCAGGTCGTCGTCAGCTGCGCTGCTACTTGGACTTTGGCCCAGCAAACATGGCAGTTGAAAATGTATTATTGTATTTGCTATTACATAAAGCCAGAGCCGCCTTTTGGTCAGTTTGCGTAAGCCACAGCAGCAGCAGCATCTCTCTCTCATCTCTTGGCCAAATGCTGACCCTTTTTTCGCTTTCTTTGGTTCACACGCGCGCAGCTCGCCACCAAATGCTTTCCCCTAAAAAGCCACAAAAATGCTTCCGTCAGCGGCAAGTGCAAAGAGGCATTTGTAATTGTTGCCGCCGTTGCTGCCGTTGAGCGTTACATTTTAACGCTTCATTATGCGCCATAAACCCAGTCGGCAGTCCAAGGGGAGCACCGGGAGTGTCCGGAGTCCATAGCTCCGGACAAATGAGGGTCCACAGATACAGATACATCAACAGATACAGCTACAGATACATCAACAGCTACAGATACAAATGTAAGCGATGAGTTGACCATTCACCATTCATATCCATCATCATTGTTCGATAATTTCGATGTCGATGTTGATGTCGCCATCCAAGGCAACAAAAACGCCCCATCCTAGGCCTGACCCACTGGCCACCAGTGAGTGACTAAGCCATCATACTGGGAACCTTTTGGGAAAACCGGACAGTAGTAGTCTCCACACACACACACACACACACACAAATAATTGTTTTTAGTGGCAAATTGTCGCCCTAATGTGTTGCCGGTGACTGTGTAATAAGCGTTTTGGCGCTGCTGAGACAGCCACTTTGGCTCTAATCGCTACTTACTGGGTT